CTCCCGAAATCTCCCGAAGAAAGGACTCCTGGCATCTCCACAAGTTGATCTGGAGCTGCAGGAACGGGCATAGGTCCTGATCAATGGTAAGCACCCACAGCACACGTGCCATCACATGACTATCCCTACATGACCACTCCTAAACAGAACTCAACTCAACCAAACAAAATGAACACGTGGACCAATGATCTTGCCTTTTTCTGCCGATTCTTTCTTTCCAATGTCTGGCACTTTTTGGGGTCCTGGCTGCAAACACGCACATGCAGGGGCGCACACACAGTTTATTTATAAAATGCTCTGTGACACTTCCAACACAGAAGTAGCACCATATTCAAATCGAATGTTAGGTCATTTTATAAACAAAAATAATGCAGCATAATGCAACCGATGCAATTGCATATGTCCCACAGATTTTCAACCAACACAGCTTCAGCATGCTTCAGCCACTGATGTGGCATCTGTTCATGCAGCCTTGGCCGCACTTAATGGATCCAGTCTATATGACACTCTTGGTCACGAGGGAATGGCAGGAATGGACTCCTCCCAGCACTTAATCAGGGCAGTGACAAAGCGCTGGGGGTAGAGAGACGTTCCACTCAAATCTGGGCCGCCATGAAATTTTCCATTCGGACCGCGGACCCAGAAAATTGGGACCCTTTTGCCAGCCGCCAGCTTTTTGCTATTGGTCTTGGCTACCTGCCTCGCATGGCGTTCTTTTGCTTCTTTTGTCGCTTTGCGGACAAGAGGTTGGAGGCAAATGTTACTGAGCAAGTGTGTCCCTTTCAAGATGGGAGCACCAAAGAAGCCCAAGTACGTCAGGTGCTTGTGAAGATTCCAGCGGTGGAGCACCTCTTTCACTGGTGATTGCTTGAACATCCAGGAGGACTTGGGCTGCTCAATAACCACTTTCAAACTCGGTCGAAAGTATGCCATGAGGAGTAGGAAAGTCACCTGGGTAGTAGCTGGTGCAACGGCAACTCTACTAGAAACACTGAGCAGCAAATTCGCATTGTGACATGTCATGTATGCGCAGCCCAGGAACGGTGTTTCGCAAGATCAAGTTGCTGAGACGGACACTAAAGAGCGATGTGTCTCCTTCCAAATTGGTTTCCTCGGCTCAATTTACACCATTGTAACCTCGTACTTGCAAGACCCAAAAAATCAGGCAATATCAAACAAACTTGAAACACCTTGAAGCTATAACAGGGCATCCGAGAAGCTGATCGCTTATGAGTCCCCACCGAAATTCCGACAAACAAGCTGCAAGGCGGTGCAAGCATCAACAGGGCGTTCTCCAACGACCTGAGCAAGGAACAAACACCTTTGTTGTTTCTTCCTTGCCTCTCGGACTACATCAAACACATTCAAACACCAGCAAAATATTTTTCCACGCATCCGAGAAACTGCAAACCAATCTTGACCAGCAGGATAAACCCATCCCTGGTGGTTACATCAAAGCTTGGGTTGCTCTTGATGTCGTAAGCGATTGCCTGGTAACCTTTCCTGGACGCAGTTTTGCAAACACGTTGTGAAAAGGAAAATATATCCAAGCAGTGGTACTGCCGCAAGCCATCAGTCTTGTCGTATTTCTGGCAAAAGGCACTGAGGTAGCCCCAATGTCGGAAAGCAAAGAACCAATCTGCTTCATCTGATGTGGTTGCAGCATCAAGGGCTGGACTGGCAACAGCCTCAGCCAAAAGTAACCAAGCCATACCAAGCCTGAGCACTCAAGACTGAATATGTTCTTTTTATGATGATGGCATTTCATAAACCATTACAACATTTATAAAATGCCTGTGTATGAGAGCATGTGCTGCAACTGTGATTGACGGCTTCATTTTATAAATGAGGAGCTGCACTGCATGAAAGCAAAAGGCCCACAGCACTGAACCATCTCCCACATGGTGCCATGAGGCGCGCAGGGGCTTACCGGTCAAAACCAGCAACTTCCGTGCACAATGCAGGTCGCAAGGGTCTCTTGATGTTCAAATTTTTTTGCAGAAATAATATGTGTCAATCCAATTCAATCAATATCTATCAACAATCTTGCTTCTCAATAAACCAGATTAAGCAAAAGCCACCCTGCTGTCCTGTCTTTGCAGCTGCCTTCGCCTAACAAAAAAAACGAACAAATCAGATAAAAAAAAACCAAAAGGCTCCCGATCTTCTTTGCATCACCCTTCATGCACCCTGCCTTCGGGGCTTTTCCAAGCACATGAGACAAACGCGAAGTCCAGGTCCATTTCGTCCTGGGCACCATGAGCCAAATATATGCTTTATTCAAGATCTGCCAAAAGAAAAGATTCTTTATAAAATAGATGCTGTCAAAATATGTCCAATTTATGAATTACCAGAACTACCTAAAAGCCTTTAAAACCCATTTTATAAAGATCAAAATCATACACCATTGATTTTATAAAGCAATATTTGCTAACACCCATTTTATAAACAATAGTTATCAAGAAAGATCTCAAGAAATCCCTGATATGACCGTTCAAAAAAGCCCAAAAGCACTGCCCAGATTATCCCAGATCTGCCAAGTGGCTCTCCAGGCCTCAAAAAGCACTCATGGTTGGATGATAATCCACCTGATCTTGGTTGGCTGCACCGCGCTCCTTAGCCATAGGGCATGTTTATCTTATTGAAAATAAAAGTCACAAATGAACTTAAGTTATCTTAAATTCATCAATGCGTTCTTGTTTGGAGTATGTCAAGCAAATTCACCAAATTCATTCAAGCGTCTCCAAATTCCACGAGCTTCGTCCCAACAGGGCTGTTGAACTTTCGCGCAGCATATGTTTATGCCACACCATTCCGGGACGCAAACAGGCGGAAGCGACATGCCGCCCGCGAAAGGACCTTGCAAATATTATAGTTGAATCCGAAAATATATTTAAATATTTGATATTATTTAAATCTATATCTATATCAATTTATGATCTTTACAGGTTCCTACATTCTAACTACCGGTAGGTTTAACATATCTTTTGCATTTAGATGCATTTGGTCCATTTGAGCCTTTGGCTAGATTTGGACAGGGCACACAGACAAAGCACAGATGCTGAGGTAACAGACAGATGTTTTTTATAAAATGATTTTGCCACAATTAATGTTCGTCAAGCATCACAAGATATCACAAGATACCCGGTTTTTACAAAATGGTTTTACCATCTCTCAAACATCCTCACATAACAAAATCCCTTCTTAGTTTTAGCAAAAACCACATATTTATAAAATGACTTTGGAAACCATTGGAAACCAATCACTACCAAACTACTATTACCATAGCCCATAACCTCATTATAAATTGACCTTCGGAAACCCATTTCATAAGGGAACTGGATACCCATTTTATAAGGAAGTAAGTATGGGGGATCTTCTTCTGCCACACTCTCCATGTGTCGGTCCCAAAAGTTCCAAAGACCTCCGTAATTGAATCTTTGAGGCGCGGACGACAGCGCAATGTGTGCCGCGCGCACGCGCGCAATGTGTTCCGCCGGCTTTGCGGCCAGGATGGGGCTTCCGGGCTTGAGCGACGAAGCAGCTGAAAGGCCCCAAATGCTTGATCAGGGTGGATGTAAGGCCGACTATCTATCCCAACAACTTAATATAGAACATCGTAGAACTATAATGAACTATTTATAGAATGGGAACAGAATAGAAACCATGCAAGACAGCAAGGCGGTTCTCCTGCACACCAGCAGGGGGGTGAGTGTTATTCAAAGTTCTGGGCAGTTCGGGCCTGTTCCAGTGACAAAGCATGGAACATTCGTGAATGATGTTAAATTCTGACCTTCACTTCAATTCGATCCAAAATACATGTTTCATCATATTTCATGAGTCCTCCGTGAAACCAATTTGATTGCAACACCATGTCGCCTTGTGTGGCGATCTGCTGGAACAAACAGATTACAACTCGTCACGGTCGGCCAAAAGATCCCCCGACAATGACCATCATGCGCCCATCGGTCGGCGTGTTCGCCACATGGCTGATGCTGTTTGTCAGTTCTCATGTCTCTAAACATGGATTCACCTGAACCATGGCTCATACGGAAGGCATCTCTTCAAAACTAATAATAATTTACAGAGTTTCGTGCGTTTCCCCTACAAAGCCGGTGTTTCGATGTCCAAAAACCGTCCAAAAAGAATCACCCCGTCCTCTCCCCCTGGTCGCTTCCGCGGATGTCCGGGTTCCACCAGGTCTTGCGGACGCATTCAGCAGCTTGCCGATGGGGCTGGGGAAGAGATCGAAGTGATCCGTGCGGAAGGCGTCGGTGAACTCCGCCTGGATCTCAAACCTGAACTCCGCACGGGCCGCGCCAGGCTAGCGCGGTCGCATCGAAGTTCCGGGGCCGGGGGAGTTGGACTTCAGACCCCCACTGAGTTCCTGCGGGGAATGTGGATGAGGAGGGAAAATATGGGGAGCCTGCTGCACACAAGGAGTGTATCTATATGAACTATAGTCAGGCTGGAAAGCATCCAAGGAAGGGCTCAGAAAACCCTTTTGTGGAAGAGGTCTCCGGAAAAGCCACCCACCATCTACCCTGCCGTTGCTTAAGCAATTAAGCTTACCAACAGGTGCAGAAAGTGGAGACCGTTACTTGCAACTTTGAGGGTTCCGTAGTCCCACCAGCTGAAGTCTTTGCTGAGTGTCCAATCATTCACAGTATTACGTCCTTCACATGCGACAGATGCCTCCCTTCAAAACAAAGGCCCTTCTGTGACAGTGCGACAGATTGCCGTTTCCATCCATGTCAATGTTCACTTTGGTATCATTTTCTGGTGTCCAAACCCAGCTAAGTTGACCTCGCTTTCGCAGAAAAAAAACTCTTGAGCTGGCCGTCCGGAAGAGCTTCACCATCCAACGCAACGTGATCGACACGGCTGAAACGTCACAGCAAATTCAATCAGATTCACCTCTGCTTGGATCACACAAACTTTGAGTCTGTGCCTGCTTAAACTGCGGTTAATTCCTCACCGAAACATTGGCTGCCTGATGCCAAAGCTCTGAATATCGGCTTTTGCTGGCAACTGACTCTGACCTGAAAACCTTCCAGTCCACAATTGCAAGCCTTTGCCAAGCAACCTCTAGTGACATCCCATCCCCAAGCAAGGCACTGCGGCGCTGGGATGCACGCAACGCCAGACAACAAGTCCCCTACGAGGCTGTTTGGGCGTAGGAAGACGATGCTCTCACTGAAGCTGCTCGCATCGCATGGGCTTGGCCTGCATCCGCCAGGAACATATCGAGGTGATTACTGCTTCACCACATCAGCCGTCGTCCGAGCGGAGCCATTGGGAAAATTCTTGGAAGTCTGGGAACCCCACACTTGACCAAAGCTGCCTTGCTTGGCAAACCTGGCTTGGAGCTCTTCATGAGCGAGCCAGAATTGACCTTCGACTGCATCACGGAGCCTTCGCTCTGGGTGTATCAAAAATAGGAAGACCTCCCAAAGTTTCAAAGAGTCCACGGAAGAAGGAAAATAGCAAAAAAAACATTGGTTCCGGGTCTCATACCCATCTAGATCTTCTCCGGCAAACTTGACAAGGAGCCTGCAAGGAGACAGGGCATCAAGGCAAACAGCTCAGCAACTTGATTCTAGTTTGACAGCTGCTCGGACACGTACAAGTCACCCGAACATGGTGCCAAAGCTTGTGCCAATCAGAACAAGGTTCGGGCAAGGTTAGGATGATTTTCGCCCCAGCTGCCATTTTGAGTCTTGCAATCAGACTAGCTTCACTTGCCTGATTGCTTCTGAATTCTGCGTAGAAACCTTCACCGAGCAGGGTTTCTTGGGTGTGTCTTTGGAGGAAGTGAACTCTTTGGAAAGCAAGATCCCGTGTCCACCGTAGCCAGATCGCCCGGAAATGATTCGCGCGGACATGCTTGATGCTTACAAAGCCTGCATGCTGATCATAGCAACCCAATCGAACCTGGCACCTGGCGATCTCAATGGTCATCCTTGTATTCCAACACGACCTGCTGGGAAGAAGGAACATAGACCCAAACCCATTGAGGTTGGGTATCTCCCTTTTAAAATGCACACCCAATGTAGGCTCTTGATTCTTGATTCTTCTCTCCGGAACCGAAGCGTCACCTCCAGTCTCTTCTCCAGAACATTGGCTGGAACCACGCGAGCGCCATGGCGGGAACGTCGGGCCGCAGAACGTTCACAAGGTTCGAGCAAAAATGACGCAAACCCGGACTCTACTTGCTATTCTGGAGACACTCCAGCGCAGGACACTGAAACCTTGTTGCGTTCAAATGTCAAAAGCAAAAGTGTACGTACAGTTCGCATCATGAATCCAGACTCCACTGCAACTTGGGATGAGGTGGACTTTCTTTGAATGAAAACGCCACGTGGCGTGGACAACGCCACGAAGACGCCAAGCTGTCAAGCTGTCGTGGCTGTCTGAGCTCCAAGCTCCCATCTTGCCAGATACAGCTCAGGCTCATCCACGATCCTTGGCAGCCTCAGGGGGCACAAGGAGTACATACGCCACAACATGGACATGTTCCATCACCTGCAAGTTCGCAGAAAAGGAAACAAGGTCCCTGCAAGTGCGTAGAGTCCTTACATGATACATGTACTATTGTAATTAATTGTATTTACTGTGGTGTTTGGAGTGCTTCCAAGTTGTGGTGCAGGATTTCTTCCTGATACAATCCCGACGTCTTGCCCCCGTTCCTCTCATTCACACCATCCTCACCGCCCTCTGGGCTTCACGGACGCTCGCAGGTGGAGCGTCTCCTGGAAGTGATCCAGGGCCAGGGCCTCAGGAAGGGAAGCATTTGTTCAGCCGTTTTTGTTGAGTTTCCGAAACCACTAAAGTTGACATCCCAAAATCAAGTTTCAAGGTTTGTCATATAGATATACATATATATATATATATGGTTTATGGGTGCTTTTCTGGGTAGGCAACAACACAACACCCACATCAACGGCTGTAAAGTCAACGTGCGGGAGCTCCAAAAGTGTTCATGCTCGATGGGGTTTACCAGGATCCCTGCCATGATCCACAGCCAAATGTGAAGCAAAAAGGAAGAACAGGGAGATGGGAAGGATGGGAGGTCCGATGGGGGGTCCTTTCATTCGGATAGTTTGGATCTGTGTCACGGTAGGTTGTGAGCTATTTTCAATGAAAAAATGTAAGTGATGATGAAGTGTCAAGGGCATCATATATATATATATATGAATATACATTGTGGAAGTTTTAACAGAGAAGATCTTGATGAATTTTGTAGGGTGTTGGATGTCGCCATTGCAAGCTGCGACTATGTGCCATGATGCTGAAGGAGCTCCAATGTGGACATCTCAAAGCTCAGGGCACTGGCCCATTGGGTTGCGTCCGCTACACTCCGTGAAATAGTCATGGTTACATGGAGTTGTCCAACCACCTGTTTGCGGATTTCATGGTCAGAAGTCAGGGCCATCCACGTAGCCATGATCTTTTCAAAAAGCTTTTTGGGTGAACTCCCACAGGCCGCCGAGGCGGCCGTCCGGACGGACCGTCCAGGGCGCCGACCGCGGAGTGAGGCTCAGGAGGGGTTCAAGTGCCCAAATCGGAGATTCCAAGCATGTGGAGAAAAGAAAAACAACCCGGCGGAGTCATTACCGCCCACGATTTTGTTCTTTTTGGGTGTTTCACTGCTGCGAAATCCGATTTCTGAGATAGAAGTCTGAGGACAAAACATGTCAAAAAAGTGCCCCCTCTGGCGCGTTCGTTTTCTGTGCTTTGAGTACATTTCGGAAAGTTTTAGTTTTCTCGATAGCCGGAAGTGAACGCATGTCCAAATTGGCACATGCAAAAGCATGATTAAATACCATCGACAATTGTCATGGTTGCATTGGCGCTAAAGGCAGGTTGTACTTCTTGGCCAATGCCTTATAGCACGGCGAACCATCATGCATTCGTATGCATGTGAAATCATCTTCGAAGCACATCTAAACCAACGTGCTTGTCCGGTGGACCGCTCTTGGGACAGTGTCTTTCCAAGGGAGCCCCACTGCAATTGCACTTCGTGTCACCCCACCCATTTACAGTTCTGACCGTCAATGAGTGTCCATGTAACATATGTCAATGAGTATCCATGTCACAAATTTGTGGTACTTGTTGTTGTTCTTGTTGTTGTTGTTGTTGTTGTTGCAAGTAGGCAAGTTGACAGACATCGGAGAACTTCCGGCCAATACCCCTTGGTTGCAAGCGGTGCTTCAGCGTTGCCAGAGCGCGTCAAGCTTTTGAAGGTGCTTTGAGAATCCTTGTTTCGAGTCTTGTTTCGACATCTGTGTTGCACTCGAACAATTTCCACACAAGTGTTAACGAGTGTCCATATCAAAAAGTATCCATGTCTTTCTGGGCGGTAAAAATTCCGCTAGCAAAAACAAGTAAATCATGTATACTGTATAACAATAAATAAATGACATTTAATGTAAAAATAGCCCCAAATGTGTAGAAATCGAGATTGACCATGTGGTCCAAACTGAATTTGGTTCTACAAGTCCGGCCACCTGGGCAAGCTACAGTAGTGGAAAGTCACCCAACTCGTGGAAAGTCACTCGGACAAGTGTGAAACACTATGGCTGGGCTGTGCACAAAGTGTACTATATGTACCACACATCCTCCCGCCCAACAACTCGACAACTGCATATGTTCGGAACGCCTACGCTGGGACGAAATGATCATGTCGGTGTTGATCGCTTGTTGTTCGGTTGTTGAATCACCATTGCCACGCTTACTCCAGGTAGTGTTGTGAACTCATTTGTCCTTCAGGAAACTAAAACATGCGATTTAAATGAGTCATACAGGAATTTGAGGTTCAACATTCATGTTAAAATCTATTACTGTACATGAACAGAGGTTCGTCTTCGTGCCGCGCGAGCGGAAACGCAATGCAGGTCCCACATCCAGCCTCAAGAAACTTATGCCTGTTCACCGGGATAACAAAGTTCAAAAAAGATCAAACGAGTATATAAAGGCACAGATCCTGCAAAGCCACGCGACGACTTACTACAAGACCGAAAGACTTAACCCCGATACCCAGTAGATTGACCAGTTCCACATGTGTCGAAACCCATGTGGTCCCAAATCCAGGTAGGAACCTCTGCTTGGCCAGACCACAGGAACACGCCCAGTGCGTGCGCGCAAACACATCAAACATCTGGGCACCAGAGCCAACGGCAGGAGAGCAGCCTGGTTCACTTCGAGATGAAAAAGTGGAGCCTCCATTCTCATCCCCAGACCTATGGATATTTCATGACCTTTCTAAGAGTTCCAACCCCATAAAACCGAGGTCACAAGGCCGCCGCTTGAGAAACCAGCACGCGAAGGTCTGTGGATTTGGACCCCGGAGATGCTAGCTGTCACTGTCATACTATCATATAGTCATATAGTCATGAGTCATGAGGATTCTGAAAGCTGACCCATCATCTGAAAGGATGTCATCAACATAGTCAACATCTGAAAGAATCTTAGTCAGGGACGGTCATGTTAAGTGAACCTCTGAAATCATACGAGAGATAATATCCATCCCTGTGATCCAACCAGAAGTGTTCACAACGGAATCCGTTCAGAGCCACGCAACGCCTAGATTGTTGGATGAAGCCTATCAACTCTTGCTGGGTGAGGGCACCCGAAAGACGCATGATCGTGGAACCCCAACAATGTCTGTCTTCCCAACCAGCTGCAGCATTCCAAGGTATACAATTGATGTGTTAAACATCCCCACTGGCGCGGTTGATACAATATATGTGGTTTTCCTCGGTGTGACCTGGTGAGTTCCGGACACTGAAACTCTACGCGATTTCGCGGTTTCGCCTCACCGGAACCGTGGTGCTTTGTTTGGTCTGCTTTGGGAAGGATCCCATAACCTGTCCCGCTCCTGTAGGCGCATCATCGCGGAGGAAAAAGCTGTGAGATGGGATGCATTGGTGTCTCCTCACTGGAGATGGGATTGCGCAGTGCTACAAACACAGCAAACCTGGAGCTACATCGTCTGTGCTTCTTCTTCTTCTCAATACCATAGGGTCACCCAAGAACTAACTCATTCCTGTCAGTGGACATGTACGAAAGGTGACCACATTCGTTCAAAGTGGGCTTTGTAGGGTTTAGGGTGGTGTAGAAAGGTCTGCGGAGTGCCACATTGTCACACTGCCGGGATCATCATTCAGACCCCTCCAAACTAACTGCCGTCTCGAGACAACTTGAGCCAACAAGGCATTCGATGGGCCTGGACCGGATGATGACCTAAACTACAGTAATGGAACCAGCGATTACCATGATCGATAGTCTCACTGAAATACAGTACAAGTTTCTACAAACCCACAATATTCCAAAAACCTTGAGGATTTCAAGATAGTTCCAAACCTTCAGGATTTCAGACCCCAAACTCTCTACACTTCTGTGGATCTATGGCTGCCTGTCCACCACCCCTTCGAATGTTGCAGGGTCCAGGGCTTTTCTGCTCTTCAATCGTTATATAACCTTTCAAAAACTTTCTGCACCCCTGCCAGACCCTTCCACTGGTGGTTTTTCATGAAGAAACCCCAGAAACACCTGGATTGCCGTAAAAAACCGGTGCCTGCAGCCGGTGGACATCTCCCCTCCACAGACGCGTGGCTTTTTTTCGATGGACTCTTTCATGGCCGGGCATCCCCGAGAAGGCATTAACAGCCGGGCCGAGGGGATGAGCCATCAAATGGAGAGGAATTTCCACAGATGGAACACGAAAGTGAACACAACTCGTCAAGCGCTGGGAGAAATTTCGAGCCATCCAAATGCGCGGACCGGTTTGTTTGATGTTGCACCATGTTGCGACACGAACAGGTACAGCTACCGTAGGTCCGGTGTGATTCTGTGGCACAAAACCCCCACGACCGACCAAGCACAGAGGGCTTGCACCCTACTCTGGCGAAGGCAAGATGCCCAGCGATATGCACAGAGCGATCTACAGGTGAGCGATGCATGCAGAACCATCAAAAAGTTGGCAGGTGATCCAAGCTTTCCCGTCGAAAATCCTTCATATAGAACACTAGCAGCAACATCGGCAAACCACATCGCCACATCTACTAGCCTGGTTCCAATCGCCTGGTTGAACCAATCTACTTGGGTTGGGTTTACTTGGATCACCACAAAGGCCCTCGAAATGAGGGCTGAAATGAGGTCCTGTTGCAAGCACCCACCGGATTAAAACCTCCGACCACAACTGCGGCCTGTCAATAAGAGGATTCAAGGCCATATGTCATACCCTCAAAAAGCTTCATACCCATATGTTCCATCTCCAAATCCATCGTCTTTCATCTTCTCTTCACATCTTCAAAATCCCAAGCCCAAATCCTTCGTTCATCCTCATATCTTCAAGCCATCTCTGATTCTCCCAAGCCCACCTTTCAGCGCGGATCGCGCCATCCCCAGGGCCCCAGGAGGCTCGGCACCTCCTCCGGGCGTGGAGGAGCCGCCATTGGGCAAGGACAGCGAGCCACCGACCTCGCCGCGCTCCAAGCGACGAATCTTCTCCGAGAGCTTCTGGCGCTCGGCGTCTTGGGATTCTTGTCGCTCCTGGACGTGCAGTGTCCACCAACAAGGTGAGGTGACAAGGACTTACTTCAACGCAGTTAGTGGGAGAAACGGCTCCGAGCTGAAGAACGGATCATCACAGCTTTTGCGAACACAATCCCCTCAAGTCATCGACGTCCGCCCGTGCAATCTTCCTGCCGCAGTGAGCACATTATATATGAATATATATACATATATATATATTGCAATTATTTATATGTATATATATATATATGTGTGTGTGAATCATATGAATCATTGAATCACCATATAATATTTTATATCATTCCATCAACCTTCAGGATCATATCCGCTCAGCACCCACAGTCAGTTCCACACAACTGACTGCATGACTTGAAACCACCGCACGCCACACACTCCCCACCTGGAGCTTGTGCCGTAGTTGAAGGGCCCGGATCACAGCCTCTGCCGTGGGTTCCACCTCCTGAGGCTCGGGTTCAGCGGAGCGGCCGATGTGTTTGCAACTGTTCCCCGTGTCTGTGCATCCAAGTTCTTGTTCAGCTCAAAACTCCAGAGAACTGGTTCGTCGAAAAAAGATGGTGCTTCATCCCAAAACTCCAGATATTTCAGCCCAAAACTGCTTGAAATTGGGGGAACTGGGGATGGTGGGACTGTTTGGAGATTTCCGTGCTTAGTCTCGCTTCTTGGAAACTCCCTGCAGTCCCAGTCCACCCCGGGCACCGTGGGCGCGCGCAACAACGCTCACCCACCTGCACAGCGCCCTTGTCAGCCAAGAGCTGTGCACCCAGAGCACTGTTCATCTCTCGCAAACGCAAACTCTGCGAGCTCAAGGCAGCCTGCGTGGCCTTGCGAAGCACATGCGTGGCGCATGGCGCATGGCGCGAAACACGGGGTGGCGGACATGGCAAAAACACATGAGTGAAGCCGTGCGACAGCACAGCCACCAATGCTTTGTTCCCAAGGAAACACAGTTGGAAATCTTGTACAGGTTCTCTCTCCCCTACTTGGAGCAAAAGAGCTTTGAGCAGCCTTGGCTTTGTATTGTGGAGCAGAATCCCAACAGAGAAACCTTGGGCCCAATAGAAAAAGTGCTCCAAAGCTGCTCACTCCCTCAGTGTCCCTGGAAAATAGTTTAATCATGGACAAAAACCGTGACCTTTCCACCACCGGTTCTTGTTTACTGGTGAAACCAAGCCAAACCCCAAAAAAACATGGAAAAACCATGAAAAACCAGCTTTCCTATAAACGTTCACAGGGGTGCGGGCCCCCACCACGGAACCGCCTCTTCCGCCTCCTTCCGGACCCCCCAACACCGGCCCTCACGTCCCCACCGCTTCGGGTCCGAAGCCTCGAGAGCTCCATGCTGCCGCTCGAGCTCGGACAAGCCCCGCAGCGCCGGGGTCAGGTCGTCCAGCTGCGCCTGGGCGGGTCGGGACTGACGTCGGACGAGCTGAGGAGAGGAAAGGCTCGTCCATCTATGTGAAGGGGTCCATCCAAGTCCACATCGGTCTTCAGAGACGACGCCACGAGGCGATGACTTCAACCCAAATTACAACCGGTCGGGGCTCTTTTCAAGGAACGCACTGCTGCCGCGAGGTCGAGAAAGGCCGTTTGGCTCGCGGTGTGTGTCTTGGCGGTGTGGGAAGTCATGGCTTCACCAAAGGAGGACCATCACCGCAGTCCGCTGTCCGCTGTCGATCCGCTTGTTCGATCCGCGCTTCGGCGTGGGGAGAACATCGGACAGGTGGAGATGAAGACCCTGGCGGAGGTGTGTTTTGCACATCTACGCCCGTTTCATCTCCCACCATGCATCATGCATCCAGATCCAAAATCAGACCCTGATTTTGTCCGACCAAGATGCATCATCTGGGTCCCCAAATGTGGTCTTTCCAACCACTCTGCTTCAAAAACCAACCCCCCGTTGGTTTCCTCGTCTCGCGCGGGGTCTCGGTCTGGTCACCAGACCACCACCTGGTCCGAGCGGACCTGCAGATCAGCGCACTCTTGGATCAGCTTGACACGATCCTCGCACACGCGGATGGACCCGGTCCGATGCCGGTGTCAACACAGGTGGTCGGCTCGGGTGAAGGAGAGGGTCACTGTGGATGTAGCCGCCAGAGAGGTGGTTATTGATCAACCCTCTACATGTCCATGGTGTACGGTGTGCATGTTAAATGATGTCAGAAAAACCCAAGAGGCGGGGTCGTTTCATCGTTGCGTGTCTGCGTCGGGGGCACCAGTCACCATCCCGGTCGGTCGGCGTGTCTGAAAGGTTGGAGCATTCACTCGCACGTCGAATGTCTCGCTCTTTAATATTCCTCATCACTTTATTTGACAGAAAAGCTAACACAAATCAAACAAATGAACAAAACAAAGCAAAGCAAGCCAGAAAATAACTATAAGAAACAAGCCGAGGATGACCAACAAGACTGCCGGAACCTGCTTTCAAAGCTAATCGCTCCCCGTTTCCCTCCTTGTCCGGGAACCCGTCCTGGTCAGCGCTGCGCCGAGCCAGCTCCTGTCGATGAGGTCCATGCTTTAGGGGAATCTTATAGAGTGTTAATTGAAGCGATGGCCTCCATCAGAAAGAGCGATGGTCTCCAACCTAACAGCGATGGCCTCCAATCTTCCAAATAGTGGTTTCTTTTGCCAAAGAAAATGGCTCTAGACTCTAGACTTAAGCACCTATGGATACCTATGGCATATGTGTTGGGGGAGGAGGATGAGCCAAGAGACGTTGGAAATGTGGGTGCACCGAGCGCAAACGATCTGCTCCAGGACAAACACAGGGACATACCAAGAGATTGACAACTGTCAAGTCTCCAAGAAATGATGATCCATCCATCTCCGGGAGACGGTCTGCAATATAGAGTACAAATTAAGGCAAGCAAACAAACAAACAATATCAAACAATCATCAAACAACCAACACAAACGAAAGAGGAAGCAGGTCTCCCAAAAGCAATTAAAGGCCAACCACACAGTGCCAACGATCAGGACTCATGACAAACTCCATTCTCCTCCAAATCATCTCTGCAGTTATCAAACCTCTCGTTAAACAAACTAAAACCTTCCACACCTCCAAACCTTCTTTTGCTGTCCTTCTCCACCACGTCCCCGTCCTTTCCTCTTGACCATCTCTTTCCACGGTCCGCAAACCTCCGCCCGACGACCCACGCGGTTCCGCAGGACCCGCTCCAGGTGATCGATCCGTCGCACGTAGCCCTCGCTTTGGGAGGCGATCGTTTCCCGCAAGGCGCTGCCTGCGGCGGTCGGAGCGCCCGAGATCGCGCGCCGAAACCGCGCGGAGCGCGAGGGAGAGCGGAGGGGCAGGGCGCAGAGGCCCTGGGTGGGTGTGGATGATCCAGGAGTCCAAGCGGGTTGTCTGGGATGATGGAAGTGTTGTCTTGGACCAAGGAGGCTTGCATTCTGATTTTC